GAAAGAGGCAGGCTGACCCCTTTCACCGGGTTCCCTGTCCTCGTACTCGTAAAACGCGTAAACCTCGCCATCGTATCTGGCGACCAGATGACACTAGACCACCATATTACCCCGGCAAAGCCACACAGCAAAACTGTCATTGCACGCCTCCAGCACATTTGCACAGCCAATCTGTCTTTCAGACACCATAGCGTGGGTCATGCGGGTTTGCCTACTCGGTCCATCCATATAGCGCCATGGCCCTTAGGCGCCCTTAGGCGCCCTTAGGGGCCCTTAGGGGCCCTTAGGCGCCCTTAGGCGCCCTTAGGCGCCCTTAGGCGCCCTTAGGCGCCCTTAGGGCATAGGCAAGCCCGCAACACTGCGCCATGCGGCACAGTGTAACTACAAAACGTACCAGGGCCTGTGACCCTCTATGTTTAGTTATTTTCAAAACGCCAGTGTTTTCGCCTCCTCTAATCGGGGATGAGTCAGGGCGTCGTAACGTAACGTAACGCATGTAGAAACGCTTAAAAACGAAAATTAATTTTCAACTTTGCGAGTGTTTTTCAAGCGTTTTCAGATTCTGAAACGCGTTTTTGTATGCAAAACGCTTGCAGGAAGCTGAAAACGCTTTCATAACGCTTAAAAAGTTGAAAATTAATTTTCGTTTTTAAGCGTTTCTATATGCGTTACGTTACGTTACGACGCCCTGGGAGGAGTGCGACTGATGAAATTAATTTCCTCACTTGAATCGGGCGTTTGAATGCTTACAATCTAGAGAGAGAGGGAGAGAGCGGTGGGGAGTGGGAGGGGGTTGCCCGGCCGTGGGAGGCGTGCGCCGGCGTGTCGACGTTAAAACACATGTTTATAGCCCCGCGCCGCCCGCTCATGCCGCCCATTCGTCGCGCTCTTGTGGCGTCGGGTCCCGCGGGCCGAGCGATCGCCCGTAATAGCGCGTAAAATTATGCACGAATCGCGCGTCGAACGCCCCCCGTGTGCCGCCCGTGTCCCGCGGGGTCCCGCCGCCGCCGCGCCCCGGCGGAGCGAGGCTGGGCGAACAGGCAGTGCAGCACTTGCAACGGGGATCCCGATTATCGTCGCTCTGATTGGGTGCGGAGCTTTCTTATTTGAATTGTTGGTTTACTTTATTGCTGACGGTGTGCGCGCGAGGCTGAGCCCATAACGAGGCGGGGCGGCAAGAGACCGTCAGTATAAAACAAAGCTCTCATCCAATCGCTCGATTACTCATCACGGGCTCAAGAACGTCCGGCCATGGGCGCCGAGCGTCGTGTGAAATTAAGTCATGCAGCGCATGGGCCACCATCCCGAACAGAAACAGGACCCATAAGCGCGGGGTTCACGCCTCCTCATGGGCATATGTTTCAATTTTCGTTCGAACACAAAAGTCGAGCTCAAATTAGGGTCGCCCGGGGTTGATGGTGGTGGGAGGGGGGACAGGTCTCTGGTGGAGGGCGAGCCAGGCGAGCGGGCAGCGGAGGAGCCCCCGGGGCTCACCAAAGCTCCTGGAGGAGGGGGGAGGGGGG